AGTATATTTCCTAAAAGGTTATTTATTTATTTATTTATTTCAAATGGCAGGCGTTTTGATAGCTATCATTAGCAATTTAGCTGACTTCGGGCTTCACAGAGGGAGAAGGAATATCGAAGTAGAAGAAAGGCATGCAGTGGGGAACAGAAGAGCGATTCACAGATGTAAAAGAGGCAGATAGACACAAAGGTAGAGAAAGGGGTAAGATGAGCACTGTGAAAGGGGTCGAACATGACATACAGTGAGGTCGTGGCGGTTTGAAGTCAGAAGTCAACCGCCGGTTAATAGACTTTTTGCCGTATGAGTATACGTTGCCCAGGGTGCACCACGTGAAGGTAAGTCTCTCGCACACCCCATATTTGCTAAAAGGTTAAAAATTAAAAATATATTATGCTAAACTTCAGCTTTATTTCAATTTTTACATATTTGAAGGGGATAAATACCAATGGATAACAGACTTTTCATTTTTATTCGCCGAAAATTGCAGAAATGCTAATTTCAATTATGAATTAATCTTTTCGGCAATATTTGTACTTCATTGAAATTCAAACAGTTTCAATTTATAAAATCTGATCATAAACCTTGGTTACGCCAAGGAAAGGTGAATTTTAACATTTAGAAATAATTTATGTTTTCTCTTAAATACTGACATGATTTGCAGGTGCTTTTAATTTACATTTTTTGCAAAGTTTATGAAATTTGGTGGAGGGGGGGGGGTGTGGGTTTGAAATGAGAAACAAAGCCGTTTGCTAAAAGCAAAGGTGGAATATATAATCATTTAAGGTATATACTCCGGTGAAACCTACTAATTTGTAAGTTTGCGTTATTTTCTAAATTATTTTAAAATTTTATGCAACAAACAATCAAATCCAATTAGCCTTACAAATACTAGCAGTAACATGCATCTATATTTTTGAGATCAGTATTCTCATAATTGCAAGAAATTTAAAACAAAATACTTAAATGAATAGTTTTAATACAGCAAGAGATATAATTTCAAGTTTTTTAATTGCGGTAATTTTAAAATGGTTGTTAATTTTTTTTCAAAAAAATCAGTTCAAAATATTTAAATGCCTTCCGGTAGTCTGCGCAGACACAGATCAATAAATCGATGTAATGAACCATTAAAATCACCGTTCCATCATTTTTTTGTCAAGTCGCTCCAAACGCCTGCTTCAGTAGTGGAATTCAAATGAAAGAAAACGGGAATTTAATGGATTTAATTCCCCCTAACTCGACTTTGGATTGACTTACTTTTTTGTATTATCTTGACAAAGCAATTTTCTGTGTCACATTGAACCAAACGCACTCAGCGCACTTGTAATTTCATTTATTAGGTATTAACATGTCGTTCGTTTAATTCTAAGTAGTTTTTTTTATTGGAATTATAGGACCACCCTCAGCAAAGGAGCTATCGATGCAGTTATTGGCTGACAAGTTGGACATTAAAATGTGAATTTGCCTAACCAAACTCATGTTCAAAATCTCTCTAGTTATCTATTTTTGCAAAAAGTGCTATTTCGAAAATTTTTTGCAGTAACATATTCTAATTTTATAAAAAAGGAGGATAATACGAATTTTCGCTAGGGCTCATTTTGTTCATGTAAACCACCAATTAAGTGAAAAAGAAAGATAAAAATCCTTAGAACATAATAATTTTATACTTACAGAAATTTAAGTTATTTATGCCCTCATATATATGGCCTACAGGGTGTGCGATAGACTTACCTCCAATTGGTGCACCCGGGGTAACATATATTCTTACGCAAAAAAATATACTAACCGGCAGTTGACTACTGACCTCAAACTACCATGACCCCATTGTATATCATATTCCACCACTTTCACAGTACTCATCTTACCTTTTCTCTCCCTTTGTGCCTGTCTATCTATCTCTTTTACATCGTTTAAACACCCTTATGTCCTCCACCCTTCGGCTTTCTGCTACTTTGATGTTCCTCCTCCTCCTCTGTGAAGTCCAAAGTCAGCTAAGGAGCTAAAGATAACTATCAAAGCGCCTGCTATTTGAAGTAAATAAATAAATGCATGGCTTTCTATCCCCTACTCTTGATTGTTATTCATGGTNTGTAGTGCCTTTGGACTTCGTGGTTGTACTTCGAGCTCCGTGGGTGGATGATGAGGACGTCGCCCCAAAATTTGTTGCTGAGGAGGCCGAACTGAGCCGCCCTGGTCGACGCACTGTAAAGGAGGGCCACTTGCGAGAACCTGTACCGGAAGAAGACTTCTGCGGCTCGGCCTGTTCACGAGAAAGTTGGCTTCGTAGAGTTGGCAGCTCTGATGCCGAGGCTGGAGGTGATCCTGACAGGGAAAAAATAGTTACTAAATATTTTTTTGCCCCAAATTTCCCAAAAAAATTCGATTATCAATATTTATTTATTTATATCAAATGGCAAGCTTTATGAGAGTTATCATTAGCCCTTTAGTTGACTTCAGGCTTCACAGAGGGAGAGGAACATCAAATCGAAAAAAAGACGAGAGGGGGGAACAGAAGATTGTTTCACAGATGTAAAAGAGACAGACACAAAGGTAGATGAAAGGTGAGGTGCGTACTGTGGCAGTGGTCGAATATGACATACAGTGGGGTCATGATAGCTTGAAGTCAGAAGTCAACTGCCGGTTTATAGACTTTTATGCCGTATGAGTATGCGATGCCCAGGGTGCACCACGTGGAGGTAAGTCTATCGCACACCCCTCGATTATCAGTGTAGAGTCGCCTAGACCCAGACCTGATTCTTTGCTCATTTTAATTCTTATTAGGACCCACAATCGAACAAATTCTGAAAATGCAATCGTGAAACCTGTAATCACTGAGTTCAATCAATCATAATGTGAAAAGGGTCAAGATGATAGTGACAGTAAAACCAAGAAATTCCTAAGTTTCACGTTGTTAATAAACTTGGATTCGGAGCTGCAAAATGTTCACTTATTTGGCAGTCAAAGTTTCAAAATTCCAATTTAATTATTCACCCTCCTGATTACTTGGAAATTCCTTGTTTACAATTCCCACTGCTTATAGGCCAATTGTTTAAGCGTGATAGATGATCTTGTCAGCTAAATTCACAATATTCCTCTGCATTGCATTAAACAGATAATTTTATCTTCATGTGTAAAAAATTATCTTGGCCGACAATTGTAAACATTTCGAATTTTGTACTATGGCTAATCAATGCATGAATGCGAGGTGAACGATAGACTTACCTCCACGTGGTGTACCCAGGGCAACGTATACTCATACGGCAAAAGCGTCTATAAACCGGCAGTTTACTTTTGATTTCGAACTACCATGACCTCACTGTATGTCACATTCCACCCCTTCTACAGCACTCACCTTACCCTACTCTCCACCTTTGTGTCTGCCTGTCTCTTTTACATCTGTGAGTCACTCTTCTGTCCACCTTCTCGACTTTTTTGTGGCTTTGTCTGTTCCTCCCCTCTATAAAACCCGAAGTTAGCTGAAGGGCTAATGATAACTATCAAAGCGCCTGCCATTTGAGAGAAATAAATAAATGCGAGAAAGGTGATGCCATTTACCAGTTGCAATAACGAGAGATTTATGATAGCCATGGCAGTTGAAGAGAAATTCGCTAACATTCTGATTTCACCTTGCATAAAAAGTCGATTGGAATAGGCAGCTAAATTTAATACCTAAGAAAGGTTTCAACCTCAAGCGTTCCAGAAAACAACTACAAAGACACTTCTAGCCCTGTCAATGTCGTCAATAAAAATTTAACTATACAGGAACATTTCTCGAAGTAAAAAGCATTTACAAATAGAATACCTCCCCCCCCCCCCCCACCCCCCACATCCAAAAAAAAACCAGATCGCTCGGTGTGATTGGTTATTGCCCATCAAATCTTTCCATTGGTTTACCCACAAATCAAGAGGTGATATATTTCATTCAATCTCACTCTCACTTTCTCTCTCTCTCTCTCTCTCCCGTTTGCCAATTCTAGACCGTTTCGAGAGGAACTTCTACCAGTCATAAAATTTCGCCCCAATTTCACGCCAAGAGAGCTATTTAATGACGTTTCAATACGAAACCACAGGAGGAGTGAAAAAAAGCTGGAAAAGGTGTTGGCAATTAAGCCATGGGATCTTAGGAGGTCACATACACACATACCCACACACACACACACACACACACACATACACACACACACAGGAGGGAGAGGGGGGAGAGATATGGGAAGGGGAAAACGCTGAAGGCACTTTACGCCTAATGGTGACCTTAACCAAATAGCGAGCGAAGATATGCCAAGTGAGGGAGAGAGAGAGAGAGGGAGAGTGGGGAAGGAGGGTTGAAAAGGGGGAAAGTTTGATCACCTGCAGGGGATAAAGTACAAATTCTGTATTCTGATTTATGAAAAATCTCTGGGCTGCATATAAAAATGCTTTATTTAACTAAGTGGATCATACAGATTTAACTACCTACGAAAATATTTTTTTCGCATAAAAGTCAGTGCAACCCAGTTGATAAGACAAAATGATCAGATCAGAGGAGGAGGAGGGGGGGGNTATCTATTTTTGCAAAAAGTGCTATTTCGAAAATTTTTTGCAGTAACATATTCTAATTTTATAAAAAAGGAGGATAATACGAATTTTCGCTAGGGCTCATTTTGTTCATGTAAACCACCAATTAAGTGAAAAAGAAAGATAAAAATCCTTAGAACATAATAATTTTATACTTACAGAAATTTAAGTTATTTATGCCCTCATATATATGGCCTACAGGGTGTGCGATAGACTTACCTCCAATTGGTGCACCCGGGGTAACATATATTCTTACGCAAAAAAATATACTAACCGGCAGTTGACTACTGACCTCAAACTACCATGACCCCATTGTATATCATATTCCACCACTTTCACAGTACTCATCTTACCTTTTCTCTCCCTTTGTGCCTGTCTATCTATCTCTTTTACATCGTTTAAACACCCTTATGTCCTCCACCCTTCGGCTTTCTGCTACTTTGATGTTCCTCCTCCTCCTCTGTGAAGTCCAAAGTCAGCTAAGGAGCTAAAGATAACTATCAAAGCGCCTGCTATTTGAAGTAAATAAATAAATGCATGGCTTTCTATCCCCTACTCTTGATTGTTATTCATGGTGGTTGACAACTCCATGTAGGCAATTAAATTCGTCCAAAGACCCGCATTAAACAGGTGCGAAGGTAAGCAACGCATCACCAAATTAGACGAAAGAGGCCACCGTTCGGACGAATTTCATTTGTATGACTCGAGGAGCCATCTCCGGATTTTTCACTTTCTTTGGGGGCTTCCCCGCTTGTGTCAAGACTTAACCCCCCCCCCACAGTAATTATCCTCTGATATGTCCTTATGCTTATACATTGAGAGCCAGTTTTATGCGCGAGGCTGAAGCATTCAATTCACTGTGGCGGCAAAAATCTGCTTCCGACCTTTTTTGACATCGATTTTCGATAAAATCTCCTCTACAAACCCTGTGAGGTCAGATCAAACCACCAATTATGTTGCCTCCCTCCACCCACAACAGTCTCTTATTCACAATTGCAAGTCTCCAGTTCATACGGGATGCACTTATCAGTCTTCAGGGTGCATCGCAAAGCCTCATGATCTTATTTTGATGAATGAAACAATTCCTTGTTAGATGACCAAGTAATACACTTCCATGAATCAGGGTGATTACCGTCACCTTTTATTCTTGTTGCTATCATGATGCTGATTGAATAATAGTTTCAAAGTTTAATGTAAGCCTAGTGGGGTGTGCGATAGACTGACCTCTATGTGGTACACTCTGGGCAACGCACAGTCGTACGGCAAAATCGTCTAATAACTGGCAGTTGACTTCTGACTTCAAACTACCATGGCTCCGCTGTGTCATATTCCACTAATTTCGCAGTACTCATCTCACCTCACCTTTTCTCTACCTTTGTGTCTGTCTCTTTTACATCTTTGAAACACTCTTCTGTTCCCCCTCTTGACTTTTTTCACTTTGGTGTTCTTTCCCATCTGTGAAGGCTGAAGTCAACTAAAGGGCTGATGATAGCCATCATAAAGCCTGCCATTTGATATAAATAAATAAATAAATGAAAGCCAAGTGTGCGCAATCACCTTTAACATCTTTTAGAACTGACAATAAAAAAGTACTCAGTAAAATGTATCTCAATCACCAACTGCAACTCAAATTGCATGGAAAGCTCCGCAAATTTAATTGAGTTAAAATTAATTTTGTCATTGTAATAAAATTTGTTCTTTTCTTCTCTCTTTGTTTATTTTTAGACATGGCATGATACATTAAGCAACACAATAAAATATATTTAAAGCTATGAAAAAAAACGTAAATCTTCGATTTGAAATTTTTGTAACTGACAACTTATAAAACTTTGATAGGCATATACTCCTCTTAATCGTTTTACCAATTTCACAACTTTAATTTAAACACTGACTAATTACATTGCAGAAGTATAAATTTTCATTTATATATTTTATTTTTATTTATGTTTTTTTTCATTATCAGATGGTTGGTCGAGATTCAATGTTANGGACGAATATAAACAACCATGGCCATATTTGAAGTATGATTTGAAAAAAAATAGCAGATAACAAACAGTTGCATTGTGTACGACAAGTAAACAACTTTTACTAAAAAACTCGCTACGTGTATATTGACAATATTGGCATAGAAATTTAGGGAGAACTACACATGACGGTTTAAAAAGCGTTACCTAATATTATTATTCTTTTTGATCAGTTAAAACAGATCAATGGAAAAAAGGGATCGATCATCAAAAAGATAATGAGAGGAAAACCAGAGTATCGGAGTCTCGCGTCATTTGATTGGCAAATTCGGATTTTGCTTTATTTTTAACTAATGAACAACTCACATTGTTGAATATGAATTCCACGATTCGTCACCACCACACATCCGGTGACCTAATTCGGGTAGTCAGTTCTCTGATACTTCAATTCATTCCAACCTTTCAAAGGCGGGATGTGCGATAGACTTACCTCCACGTGGTGCACCCTGGGCAACGTATGCTCACACGGCAAAAAGTCTATTAACTGGCAGTTGACTTCCCACTTCAAACTATCATCACCTCACTCTAGGCCATATTCTACTATTTCACAGTACTCACCTCACCTTTGTTCTACCTTTGTGTCTGTCTCTTTTACATCTTTGAAACACTCTTCTGTTCCCCCTCTTGACTTTTTTCACTTTGGTGTTCTTTCCCATCTGTGAAGGCTGAAGTCAACTAAAGGGCTGATGATAGATATCATAAAGCCTGCCATTTGATATAAATAAATAAATAAATGAAAGCCAAGTGTGCGCAATCACCTTTAACATCTTTTAGAACTGACAATAAAAAAGTACTCAGTAAAATGTATCTCAATCACCAACTGCAACTCAAATTGCATGGAAAGCTCCGCAAATTTAATTGAGTTAAAATTAATTTTGTCATTGTAATAAAATTTGTTCTTTTCTTCTCTCTTTGTTTATTTTTAGACATGGCATGATACATTAAGCAACACAATAAAATATATTTAAAGCTATGAAAAAAAACGTAAATCTTCGATTTGAAATTTTTGTAACTGACAACTTATAAAACTTTGATAGGCATATACTCCTCTTAATCGTTTTACCAATTTCACAACTTTAATTTAAACACTGACTAATTACATTGCAGAAGTATAAATTTTCATTTATATATTTTATTTTTATTTATGTTTTTTTTCATTATCAGATGGTTGGTCGAGATTCAATGTTATTTACCTCCTACTTGGAAGTTTGACGTTAATATTTCAGACAAATTCACTCTGCACTTATGAAACTAAAATTTTAATTAAAATTAATTTGCCAATTATATTTGTTAATATAATTCCAATCGTATAGTTACATCTCTTTTCTTTTCAGAAACCGCCCCCAAAGTGTTTGTTAACCCATCGTTTAATGTGTAGCGGATTGCTACTTTATTCTCGAACATGTAGCGGATTGCTACCTTCGTAAAGCCTTGGTTAAAGACTTGTAGCGGATTGCTACCTTAGTAAAGCCAGACCGGTTGAGAATTGTAACGGATTGCTACCTTAGTAAAGCCTGACCGGATTGCATTGTAGCGGATTGCTACGCTAGTAAAGCCTGACCGAAATCTCTATGGCAGATTCTCCAACACCTAGCTAGACTCCCAGAACAGCTAAGCTATAGCTCCACGGATTGCTACTTTATTAAAGCCTGACTGACTCAGAAATCTCTATGGCAGATTCTCCAACGTCTAGCTAGACTCCCAGAACTAACCAAGCTATTGCCCAGGTATAAAGGAAACAAACGTGTAGCATGGAGCACGTTTATTCAGGACGTATATTGCGGATCAAGTGTACACGTAGGGGGCCTAATCATGATCAGGATGGGGGATTAGGTTAAACAGAGGTTAATGATTGGTCACTGTTTGTACGGTCGCTGCACAGAGTTGTACGGCCGCACCTCCCAATCCTGGCGAGCAGACATGCAGGCATACGATGACGCACAGAGCGATAACGTGTCCCACAAAAGGATGATTCAAACTCTCGGATTGTTGATTAATCCATATCAAAACAATTCGAATTTTTGTAGTCAGGATGCCAGCTAGCATTATTTCAGAATAAGAAGTAATAGCGAAACGCCAGTGTAGAGGTGTGCAAGTTATTTATTTATTTATTTATTTATATCAAATGGCAGGAGTCTTGATGGTTATCATTAGCCCTTTAGTTGACTTCAGTCTTTACATAGGGGAAGGAACATCAAAGTGGGAAAAAAGTCGAGAGGGGGGGGGGGAACAGAAGAGGGCTTCAAAGACGAAAGNGGGGGGGGGGGGGAACAGAAGAGTGCTTCAAAGACGAAAGTAGAAAAAGGTGAGGTGAGTACTGTGGAAGTAGTCGAATATGACATACAATGGGGTGAGGGTAGTTTGAAGTGAGAAGTCAACTGCCAGTTAATAGACTTTTTGCCGTATGAATATACGTTGCCCAGGGTGCACCACGTGGAGGTAAGCCTATCGCACACCCCATGCAAGTTATTTATTGTACATCTATATGAACCTACTTGGGGTGTGCGATAGACTTACCTCCACGTATACTCATACGGCAAAAAAGTTTATTGACCGGCAATTGACTTCTGACCTCTAAATACCATAGTCCAACAGCTTGTCAAATTTGACCCCTTCAATAGTGCTCATCTTACCTATTTCTCTACCTTTGTGTCTGTCTGCCTCTTTTACATCTGTGAATCTCGCTTCTGTTCCCCCTCTCGAAACTACCATGACCACTTTCACAGTACTCATCTTACCTTTATCATATTCGACTCCTTCCACAGTATTCCCCTTACCCTTTTCTCTCATATTCAACCCCTTCAATAGTGCTCATCTTACCTATTTCTCTACCTTTGTGTCTGTCTGCCTCTTTTACATCTGTGAATCTCGCTTCTGTTCCCCACCCCTCGACTTTCTTCTACTTTGATGTTCCTCCCTCTGTGAAGTCCGAAGTCAGCTAAATGGCCAATGATAGCTATCAAAACGCCTGACATTTGAAATAAATAAATAAATATGAACCTACTTTGGACTAATATAATTACTTCAACGCGCTCTTAATCCTTTCTACTTCCCTCCACGTTGAATTTAAGCGGTATCTTTTCCCAAATTTCTTGCGGACGATTTGCCATTTAACCATTCAAAGTTGTTGAAAGCCCTCATGAAACATCTGAAGAATATAGTTGGTATTTAGGTGCCAAAGAATTTATTTCAAAAAAATCGCATTTCAACTGTGTCTCCTTTCGTTCCTTCATTTTTTTGCAATTGATGCCATGTCTTAAAAGAGAGAAATTATTACTTTTAAATCAGAAATTATTGCCTGACAAGGGCGAGTCTCCATGGTTCGTTAAAGACTTTTGGTTGAAAAAATTTAATTTCGGGGTGTGTGTGTGTGTGTGTGTGAGTGTGTGTGTGTGTGTGTGTGTGTGTGTGAGTGTGTGTGTGTGTGAGAGTGTGAGTGTGAGTGTGTGGAAGCTCAACCATTCAATGCACGAAATTCATCCATCGTGCAGTGGAATATCAATTAGCAGAATCCCACACTCACTCCCTCCTGGCGATGCAAGAGAAGACCACCTGTGGCGAAGGCGACGTCTCAATTACTGGCCCACCAGGCAGCCAACCATTTATCACATTAACGAGCCTAAATGAGTTAATTATTTTTTTATTAATAAAAACCGTCACTTGAGCGACAAGGCTGCCGTTTTTTCCACTTGACTCTGAGTCTGATTGGATGCTGACAAATGAGAAGCTGTACAAATTTCGTTAGTGAAGACTATCCTACTGCCAGGTTGTCTGCGTTATATTCGCTCTCTTTTTGTAGTCAAAATATTTATTTATTTATATCAAATAGCAGGCATTTTGACGGCTATCATTAGCTCTTTAGTCAACTTCAGGCTTCACAGAGGGGAAGGAACATCAAAGAGAAAGAAAGTCGAGAGGGGGGAGACAGAAGAGCGTTTCAAAGACGAAGGTGGAAAAAAGGTGAGGTGAGTACTGTGGAAGTAGTCGAACACGACATACAGTGGGGTCATGGCAGTTTGAAGTCAGAAGGCAACTGCCGGTTTATAGACTTTTTTGCTGTATGAGAATATGTTGCCCAGGGTGCACCACGAGGAGGTAAGTCTATTGCACACCCCTTAGTCAAAATATAAATAAAAGTGAGAATTATTCTTCCATGACTCTGATAATTCATTTTATGGAGAACATGATTACAAATAATCACACCTTCCATTATATATATATATATATATATGTCATAGTATATGACAATGGAACTTTGGAGAGAATTAAATTGATAAAGTCTGAACAAACATAAAAAATTTGAGCCATTTCAGAAGATATTCTAACTACCTTGAGAAGGTTGATAGCAAGAGGAAAAACTAAATGGGTATTGTGGCTTTTCGCCATAACTTCAATTATTGTAGCCACCTTTTAAGTGATTTACAAGTAATTATGGTAAATATATATTCACTTGGCAACTTTAGTAATAAGACATTATTTCGCCATTTCGATAACCTAGATTTAAGGGTTTCTGTATGATTCACTCCTGAGATTTAAAATGGCCACAAATCCCTTAACTCAATAAAAGCAAGTAAATCTTCTGAAGGCATGGCAGCAACCTTATCATCGAGCAAATTTTGAAAATTATGGAAATTTTTAAAATCATAACCACAACGTCCAAATTTACTTTTCAATTATATTTATTCAATAATAATAATGGTAAAATGATGGAA